ATTTGATCTCTGCACTCCCCTTTTCCATGCCGCAGGCTACAGGCTCTCCTGTGTCTTTTGGGGATAGGGAAGATAGCGCTAGGTAACCATGTGAAAAAGAATGAGCAGATTTGACTGTTCTGGTTGTGTGAGCACAGCATTCATCAGGTTCCTGATGTCACTCTGGCAGTGTTGTTTTTAAATTCCTTTTTGACTTCTGTCCCTGATGCATCTCTATTAATTGTAGATTCTGATTTATTTTGGTTTTCTTTTCTTTTCTCCTCCTCAACTAGCACTTGAAATGCATCTAAGTAGGACACATCTGAATTCTAGATGCTCGTTTCTATAATTGTGTGTTAAAGTGCTGTTAAATATGGCAGCCTGAAGCAGGCCCCTCCATAGTTAATGAGTATATGGGCTTCCTAATGAGTATATGGGCTTCCATAGTCTTGTTTTTTTTTCCCCTGGAATATTAATGTGTGTCCCAGAGAGTAAACCAGTCTAGGGTTGATTATTAGGAATTTGCAAACAGATTTTATTGTTTTCCTGTCTTCAGTTAGACTTTAAAAAACAACTTCCTAAGTCTTGTATTTCTTGAGTTGCAGGTATTTGTAGGTCTTACTGTAATAAATGGAATGTTCGACTAGCATTGCAACTAGTTGATATTCAGTTGAAGCCTCACATCTGTTCTGGGTTTTTCCAATAATTTATTAAAAAGGTATTTCATTGATTAGAATCATAATTGGCTTAGGCTTGTTAAACTTGGTATGTAATCTGTATTTTTATATTTACATTCTAGCTGTCATTCTCTGATTCTTTTCAACTCATCGTTCTTAAAATCCAGAGTCCTTCACCTATAAAAATTTTGGGAGGAAATATTTGTAGACTGAGTTCAGTCCCTAGACTGTCAACTGAGCTGTAGTGGACATGAACCTTAGAATTTGTAATAGCTTGTGGTTTTAATCAGGTGAGCTGGTTTAACAGTTGAATTTTGCAGGTTTAGCAAAACAATAGTGTTGTGACTTGAGAATGAATGTATTGAGTCAAACCAATGGTAGCCTGCTATCGTCCCTCCACTGGCCAGTTGTAGGTGCCTTAGGAAGAGTCTAAGAAAAGAACAAGTCAGAGGTGGTCCCCATGCCTGCAGCAACTTTTGGGTCAGGTGCTTTCTGAGCCATGGGTAGTGACGTCTTATTTTATAGCTGCCAGTGGTTATTTCTTCTGAGAATTGGACAGAACTTGAAATAATTGATTAAAATATTTCTACAAAGTAACTATAATTCCACTATATGTACGGTTGTTGTGGAGGGTTTTTTTTTAGTGGCCAAATGAGTCAGTTCTCACAGGTATCAGTAACTTGAAAAGCACATGTTAGCTGTACCTTGTCTGTCAAAGTAAGATTCAGTGGTGAAGAGAGGTTGTCTTCCTGCTTTGAGCGTATTATTTCCTTCTGTGGTCCTAGACAGTAAAGTTGAAGGGATTTTGCTAAAATGGCAGATCTGAACTAAACAAAAGCTAGTACAAAGCTGTACGCATTTAACATCTTTCTTTGGTCTGGGTGATTCCCAGAAACTTCATTACTTGGTTATTAGTGTACATGTAAGAACTCGTATATTTTCATACAGCTACTTATAGATATTTCCATATGTGTCCAGGAGGACTTGAGAGAAAACATATTAGTTTGGAGGAAAACATGTTTTAAAGCAAATTTAGTTAATTTCTGCTGTCGTTTGGATCAAGACTTTGCCCTGTTGAAGCCACTGAACTCATCTGCTTCTTACAGGAAAATCTGAGTTGTTTATGTTTAATGGCCACATCAGTATTTTTGACTTACTAGCACTTGGAATGTCTTAATTTCCTTGAATACACAGGGGACACCTAAGTGTTAACCTGATCAAAAAGAGGAGTTAGGGAGGCAGGAGGGCAACTGATAGAGGTTATCAAAACACAGACTAGAATCTGCAAAAATATTTCAGTTTGCATTGCTTTGAGTTTACTTCTGTAGGAATTAGACAACCAAATTGGAGCAGAAGGCATAATTGTTTTGTGCATCTGGGCCATTAGTTAAACTTCAAATGCGATCTGCATGAAGCATAATTCTCCTAAGCTTGTATTCTGTCCCAGTATGCTCTTGTGCTGTACAGCTCCCTTCAGAATGTTTAAATTTTCTAATTCTCTGTTGTTGTTTGGTGCATTTTCTGAGTCTGCCCACAGCAGCCCTCACTTCCTGATGGCAACTGGACTATGTCCCACAACGTCGCCGTGCAAAAATCTAGAATGTGCTGCAGGTGCTGGATTCAGTGGCAGAGGTGACTATAAATGTCACCTGTTAATGGAAAGCATGGCTGACACTAAAATGCTGAAAATTGGTTACATGGAACACTTCTATTCCTTTGGCCCTGTGCCTCTGAGTAAGGCCTTCAGAGTTTGATCTACTTTGAATAAGAGATGATTTATGACTATTTGTCAACTGAATGAGGCAAAATAGTTGGGTTGCATTCATTCCAGATCTCAGTTCTGGACGTCTTGGAGATTTTTTCTTTTGTGTTTTACAGGAATACTTACTGTCAGGCGCTGACATAATTGAAACTAACACTTTCAGCAGCACCCGAGTTGCACAAGCTGACTATGGCCTTGAGCATTTGGTAAGAATGCTAAACTATTTATGTATTAAAATGTTAATCAAGATTTCTGTCGTAGCAGCCAAGATTAGCTTAGTCCCACAGTCCATTGGTATTGCGTTTATCGACTGCATGCTGTCTCTAGAGCCATGTGATGGGCTTGTAGCTCATTTCCACTGCTGCAGACGATTGTACTTGCTGTGTGTGACAGTCAGTGTGCCTCCTGTTGACGAAGGCACAAGCAATAATAATTTGTCCTAGATTTTGTTTGACCATTACCAGAATGTCTCAGTTCTGCGAACAGGGATGTTTTGCTTCATTCCTTCCAACTTACCAAATGCCACAATGGAACTGCTTTTTTCCTGGATGTTATTTGTGTATTGTTTGCACTGGTGTATGTAGAAGTCCCTTATTCTGTGTTAAGTGTTTTTTGAGAATTTGAGAAATAAGTGAACGAAAATACTTGGAAATAAGGTACTTGAATAAAAAGTGAATTTTAAAGTAGGTTAATTTTGTCCTCAAAGTCCTGTTCTTCAGCCTCTATTGACTGCAGTATGATTTAATTAGTACCTTACAGAATGGAATTTTATGATTAGCAGCTGTAGGCTGGGCCGTACGTGGGATGAGACCTGCCATGTAACTTTGTTGCTGAGATGTATAGAGCTGTTAATTCTGAAGTTTTGTAATAGTACTTATGTATATTTGTATGGCTTAGGGAGCCTTCAGAGTGTACTGCAACCTACTGCATGGAAGTGTTGTGTTTCTATGGGGATGAGCTATGCTGTACTGAAGTAAAGGCTACTCTTTAATTTTCTGTAATTGTTCTAGGCATATCGGTTAAACAGAGCTTCTGCACAGGTGGCCAGAAAAGCAGCAGATGATGTAACTGCTCAGACAGGTAAGCAATATTTATTTTAATTTGTTATTAATTTGTAGTTTTGATTGTCTTGCTACAATCTTTGAAGTGTTGCTAACTAGAGGATAGCTTGATGGTTTACATCACAGGGACATAACTTGCATATGTGCACACTTCATTTTAGGCACAGTAGCAATTTCACATCTCTACTCTTATTACACTAATTTCAGCATGTTTGCAGGATCCGATCCTTAGTGTGTTTTGCAGGATGCCTGCCTGTTTTAGACTGCAGGTGATGAACATCTTCCAGATGTGTTTTAGAGAAAACAAATTCGGTCGGGACTTTTATTTAGGTTTGTACGGCACAAGTCTTTATATTACAGAATTAAGATAGCTGATTGTAGGTAAATGTGGATTACCAGTTACTCCTAGTGTAAGTCTTGTGGTTTGACTTTACTCAGCAACTACTGGAATGTACCTAGTTATTTGACCATCATCTGTAAATGTGCAGTCTTTTACCTTCCGGGCTTTATGTGGGAGGGTTATAGCTCATTTCCACTGCTGTAGACAATGATGTCTTTCAAAGACAAGTAATTTCCACTTGTATTCTGGTATCAACCTGTGTTTCAAGCTAACAGTGCTCCTGCTGCTGTCCAGATAACACCTTACTGATGTGATTCATAGTATGCAATAAAAATTAAGATTTGAAATATACTTTAAAAAAAGAGTAGGGTTTTTTATGAACACATGCCAGAATATTCAAATCAGGCTATCTAGTGAAAAATTCCAGGACAGTTCTATGCTATGCATTTGAAGTAATTGAATGAAGCTTCTTGTGTCAGAGACAAATGATACTTAATTAATTGAGCCAATTGCCTTTTTGTAGATGTTCTGTCTTGTATGTATACACTGAACATGTTGTTGGATAGGATTAAAACAAAGAAGTCAGCTGTGCTGGGTAATCTTGTGCTGATCAAACTCTTGATTTCAGACAGGAGTTTCCTGTTTTATAGTTCTTCATCCCTGAATGACATGCATGTCTTGGTGTCCTTGGAGGTTTTTTACATTTACATGTCTGTCACTGTAAAACCAAAGGTAACCTGTTTTGAGGGGTTTTTTTTTGTTGTGCCCTCCCTTGTCTTGGTTTAGGAACTAGTAGATATGTTGCTGGAGCCATGGGTCCAACAAACAGGACACTCTCTGTGTCACCATCTGTGGAGAGACCGGATTACAGGAACATAAGTAAGTATTTATAAACATCAAGTTATTTAACTTAGGTGATGGTCTTGAAAGAGATACCTGCAGATGAAATTCACATCATTCCTGTTTTACAGCTTTTGATGAACTGGTTGAAGCCTATAAGGAGCAAGCCAAAGGACTTTTGGATGGAGGAGTTGATATCTTGTTAGTGGAAACCATATTTGACACAGCCAATGCCAAGGTGAGACTCCTGGTTAAAAAACAAACAAACAAAACCCCTAAAAAACTCTATTTGCTGTACTACCTAAGGAAATTCAGCATGGTACTTGTAAGATCTATCAGCAACTGCTCACTAAATAAATGAAAAGACTCTTCAGTCGATAGCAAACAGGTAGAATGTAAGGAGGTGATTTTTAATGATAAAGCAGGCTTTTCTAGAGTTTTCCCTTTGCCTTTTAGTATGTGCTGTTAGTATCTTTCTGTCTGTCTGTGCCAGCTGTCCTGTTATTCTCAGAAGCTGGTTAAAAACCAAACAAACAAAACCCCTAAAAAACTCAGTAATGTAAGTATTTGCTGTACTACCTAAGGAAATTCAGCATGGTACTTGTAAGATCTATCAGCAACTGCTCACTAAATAAATGAAAAGACTCTTCAGTCGATAGCAAACAGGTAGAATGTAAGGAGGTGATTTTTAATGATAAAACAGGCTTTTCTAGAGTTTTCCCTTTGCCTTTTAGTATGTGCTGTTAGTATCTTTCTGTCTGTCTGTGCCAGCTGTCCTGTTATTCTCAGAAGCTCTGCTGTATTGCAAAACATCTCCAAATGCATCTGAAGTTCGTATTTTTCAGCGTAAGCATGTCTGTCCAAAGGATGCTTGTGATGCACACTGGAGAGGGAGTGTATCTGATTGCAGGCATGGGAAGGTTTGTGAGACAGTCCTGTTAAAATGTGGGTTTTTTATGAATTCTGACACTCTGCCGCAATCAGCTTTAAAAAAGAAAAATTGGGAGTAGAGGATCAGAAGGGTAAAATAGGAGGAATAAAATGTTGAAATATGACACAGTTCATGTGATTTTTGACAACTTCTTTATCAAATAATTTCTTAGTGCAGGTGGTGGAGTTGTTAGGGTGCTTAAAACTGTCTTGCAATTTTACGTGGAAGTGTCTGGCTGGATGTGCACACAGCATTTCTTTAGGCTTTTGCTAGGGACTGATTAACATGTGTATAGTGGCATGACTGTCCTTTGGAGGTTTGACCAGTCACCATGGAGGTTTGACTAGGATCCTATAGTCTTAACATAGTGCTGAGCTCATGTTCACATGCAACTTTCACAGAATCATTAAGGTTGAAAAAGATGTTTAAGATCATCGAGTCCAACCATCAACCCAACACCACAATGCCCACAAAACCATGTCCTGAAGTGCCATGTCTACACGTTTTTTGAACACTTCCAGTGAGGGTGACTCCACCACCCTGCTGGGCACTTTCTTACCCTAAGGAGACAGGAATTTTCAAGACCTTCCAAGGGGTTGCTGCATTCTTTACTGTTAAAATTTGTGGCAGTTAGAATCCTTTCCAAACTGCACGTCTAAACAGATTCAAGGGTATTGAATGTGTACTGAGAATAGTACATACAATATGTTTGGGGTGGGGGTTGTGCTGCAGACATGAGGGAGAAGTACATGTTGATGTGATTTGGATTTCAGAATAGTCTTGGTCTTATTTGGTTACCCCATGGCATTTTCTTTCTACTTGTTACCAAAATGTGTTATTGAACACCTGGAAGATGTTAGGGATAAGGGTAAAAGTGCTTGAGTGTAGTAAGTTCTCACAGGCAATACGAGGTAGCAAGTTGCATAAACAGCCATAAAAAAAAAATTTAAAAAGGGGAAAACCCAACACAAACAAAAAACAACAAACAGAACAACTTCTGAAACATCCATTAATATTTTGCAACTTATTCTTCTATAGGCAGCTCTTTTTGCACTCCAAATGTTGTTTGAGGAAGAGTATGCTCCCCGACCCATATTTGTAAGTATATATTATTTATTTAATATTTTACATATACTTAAGCTTGATTTGTGAACTAGCTTGAGATGGCAGTTGGTTAAAGCGTTTTGAAATGAAGGAGATGAGTGTCTTGGAAATGTACTTTTTTTCACATGATTGTGAAAGGAAAAACTCTGTGAAGAGCTTTATAAAATCAGCCATGGGTAGCTCTGTCCAGCTTGTCAACCTGAAGTCTAAGGAATGTCTTCATTCCAGTGTGCATTAATTTTGTGTATTTCCACAGGAAAAGGTCTGATTTTACTGATTTTATTGATTTTATTTCAGGCTTGCTGTCTTAAGGGTAATAATTTCATCCTTGAAGCACTGGTTCTTGAGTACCTTCTGCCATATTTTCAAATAGAATATGAGTGGCCATTTGAAGTCAGAAAAGATCTAAGTGCATATTCTTGCTCACATGTCTCTTTCAACAGCAAGCAGTCATGAATGTGTAGGAACAAATACGCAAGAAGAGTAAGCTTGTTTGGAAAGTTCTTACGTATTCTTGCAGTTTTCTGCAGTTTGCAGGCCAGGCTTTCTGATCTGCAGTTTCCATCTGTTCATACCCTTTTTGTTGAATGTGTTTTACTCCTTCCTTGAACCTATGTTCAAACCACTGTAGGACCCAGCCTTATGCAAAATAGTCTGTCAATAACTTTCAAAGCTTATGAATGCACTGGTTTGAAAGTTTGCTTGCTTTTGGACATTCCACCTGGTAACTTCTTTTGTGTCTTGCCATTTGTCTCTGGAAAGCGGCAGTGAGCAGCTGTTCCACATTCCCTTTGCTGCATAGTCATGGCATTTATAGTCCTCCGAGAGCCTCCTTTAGTCATCTTTTTTTCATCCTGAAGAGTCTTTGTCTATTTAGCTGCTCCATACCATTCATTGATTATTCTTGTCACCTTTTTGTTTTCCACTTTCTTGACTCAGAGGGGAATTAGAATAGCATACAGCAGTCAAAAGTACAGAGATCAGGGATTTGTATCATAGCCTGGTGATTTTCTCTGCCTTGTCCATTTTTCTCTTTGTCATTTCTGAAGTTTTACTTTACTGCTAGTGAGATTTGAACTTGCATTCATAATACTTTCTTTTGTTTAGTAAGCTTAGTTTCTCAAGCAGCAAAGACTAATTTGGAAGTGTCATTATGTAGAATATTTTCCTGTGTTCACAACTTTGTATTTTCTCAGCAATGAGTTTCCACTTTTATCATTCAAGTCAGTTAGCGCTGAGAATTCTCTGATTACGTAGGGTTGACTTTTTGTCTTCATTGTCCTGAACAGAGTGGTCAGTGGACTTGGTTGCCTCATTCTCTGCTCCGTTTTCCAGTTTAGTTATGTTGAGAAGTACAGCCCTTAGCACAGCTCTCTCTAGGAATCCACTGGTCACCTCCCTTGACTGACTAGTTTGAAGGAAAGTAGCATAAATACGAAAGCATGTTTTGGAGTAAATAAGGGATTTACCTTTGCAGGGAATCTTCTAAAGTCATTCCATCTTCTGGAAGAAAGATTTGTAGGCTTGGGAAGGCTTTCCTGTTCAAATATCTCCTGAATTCTCAACTTTAGTTGTTAGGTGGGGTCAAGACATTATTTCTTATTTGCACATCTCTCTGTATAGTACTTAAGAGGTGTGATTATACAGTTTAAGACTTCTATCTTCACTATGAAGTTGCAACATCTGATGTTCCCTTGTAGCAAAAGTAGTAACTTGTATTTAGGGCCAGCCCACATTCTCCTACCCTCTCTCCCAAACAACAACCACCAAACAACCTAATAGCAGTCCTGAGACCTGAAATAACATAAAGGGAATGGTAGGGAGAATGAAGAGGATAGGAGAGGAGCTGTGACTGCTGATAGCTGCCTAAACAGGTAACCATTGCAGGTTGGTTTAGAGGCCATGATCAGAATGATACTGTGGTACTAACGCTACCTTGCTGCTGAGTGGTTCATGGTAGTTTTTGCTCTTTTTTTCTTTTATTTTTTTATTCCCCCAGGGTACGGGGGGAGAGAGAAAGAAGACTGGTCAAAGGTTTGTTTTTCCCCTGGCTAAAATATTTAAACATTTATAGCGAGGAAAGGGTTTAATTTTTCTGTTTGGATTGTGCCTCATCACTTTGAGTGGAGCACAGGTTCCTCTGCTTTGACTTCTAGCAGGTCAACCATTTAAATTCTTGTTTTTGTTGTTAATGTAATTCTTTGCCTTTCTCTGTGTTCAAACTAATATTTAGGTTTCTGGAACCATTGTGGATAAGAGTGGGCGTACCCTCTCAGGCCAGACAGGAGAGGCATTTGTCATTAGTGTTTCCCACAGTAAGCCACTTTGGTAAGGAAATGTATCTTTCTCTTAAAATCACAATCTACAGATAACTTACTTTTCTATTTTAACCCCTTGCTTGCAGCTAAATGGAAGTTATACTAGCTGTGATCATATTTAATTACATGTATTGCTAACCTTTTCTGCTATTGTTCCCTCAGAAATTATGTTTCCAAAAAACGCTGAATTTTTAAAACACTGCTCGAAATAATCTGGGGTTTTGTGTTTGCAACAGCCACTGAAATCATAATTAGGTCAAAGCATTAAAAAAAAAAACCCTGAAACTGTAGTTTGCCATCTTCTACTGTCTCAAGTTATGCAAGGTTTGGCACCAATTTCTGGTATGGGCAGGGCTTACATCTCTTACAGGGAGGCAGTACCAACTCAGAATGTTTCAGGGTGGCTTGAAAGAGCAAAACATAAGATTTCATTCCAGCATTCTTTTTACTGAACTCTTACCTGACTGTTTTCCTTGAGTATGTGCACTGTTGTTTTGAGAGGTCCTGATGCATTTACTTGCATTCTTTTCTGTTCAGGCAGACAAGTTGAAATAAGTATGAGATTAAGATCTGTGAAAATGCATAATATAGCAGATTTTGGTCATTGTGCAAGGTTTTGCATGTTAATTTGAATACTATTCTCTGTTTCTCTATTCTGTGTTTCTCTATGCACTATTCTACTTCCTCCTTGCTGCCTCTTCCCTCTTTACCATTTCTTCTCTCAGGTTGGTTCTTCACACAAAAACTGACACCAGAAATAAATGTATACAACTAGGACACAAACTGTGCAAAAATACTCCTCTTCCAGTATTGGAACCACACAGTTCAACAGTGCTCAAGAATGCTGTGCTACAATTCACAACAAAGACTGAAAAATAACGCTATCCCCTTGAAGGGGAAGGAATGTACTTACATATCTTAACATGGAGCCACAATACTAAATTTAACACAGTGCCTTACAACAAATGCTCGTTGCTAGTTCTCTGAAAGATGGTGCTTCTGTCTGAATAGGGCTGTCTGTCATGGCATAGCTTCCATCCTTGCTGAATAAGGAAATTACCCTTTACATGCTACACTTTCTGTGTTTTTTGGACTTTGTCAGGTATTAAACAAACTTAAAACACTTTCTGACAGCAGCAGAGGTCAGAGCACTGAGAGTGATCTAAGCACTTATGTTGTGATGCCTTAATCTACTTACTTTGCTCCTTTCCCTTTTTGCTCTTGCCTTTCAATATTGCTGCTGTGCATTGATCCTTGACTTTGTCTTTCAGTAAGTAAAAGTTTCTTTAGTTGTTTCAGTGCAGTCCTTTCCCTAAGGAACTGAAGAAAAAGGATTCCATGGAAGTGTTTTGCTCCATTTCATAATATCACAACACATTACCAGTTTCCTCTCTTTCTCCACTTATTGAAGGGTATAGTAAGACTATTTAGACTGATTTTTTATTTTTTTTTTTTAAATCATAAAGTAGAGGCCAAACTGTTGTGCAGTTACCCACGTGTTTTCCAAATGCAGACTGATTTCTCACCATGCTGGCTATCTCAAGCTAGAATAAGAAAATGATTTCAAATTAAAACAGAAAAAAATCATAGCTGCTTTTATATAATGGCTATAGGATAAAACAACAATAACAAAATCCAAGATAAAACAGGTTTCCTCTAGGCCATATGCATTCTTTGCACTTCTGTTAGCATAAGCAATGCATTAGCAATCTGGCTTTAAAAAGATATAAAGCTTTATCTAAGAAATCTCCACCAGGTCAAGGCAGTCACTTCAAATTTCTATGGTAGCACGCTTTTGGAGAGAGAGGCAGGAGATAACCTAGAATTGCTTTCACTCAAACTAAACTGTCCACACAGGAAAAGATGAAGCAAACAAATTGCCTACATGAAATAAGCAGCCCTGTCTCTCTGAGCTGATACTAAACTAGGTGTCACCAATATACTACCCGAGCTGCTATCTTTAGCATGTGGAGTTAGCTGCAGTTACTACCTTAGTCACTGTACCACCCCAACAGACAGATCTTTCACAAGAATAGTGGCCAGTAGTAGTTACTCAGACCGTAATTATGACATGGGGGAAAACATTAGTTTCACTATATCTAATTTCCAATCTCAGTTATGGCTACATTTCAGTAGGACACTATAAGTTTTTTTCCTAGAATATTCTAACCTAAAATATTTAATTCAGTGTTAGCAGTGCATGCCATGCACATTGTGATGAGCCATTGTTTGTTTTTACAACAAAATTCCATCTAAAACGCACAATCTGTCATCTCAGTGATACAAAAGCAGAAGACTGCATTCACAGTTTTCCTGACTGCCCTTGAGCCTCCACTTTCCCAGACCAGACGGTGCTTCAGAAATAACATATGGAGCTTCTTGGAACAGGGTGGTAGCTGACTCCTTCCCTAGCATCACAACCTAGTGATCCATATTTGGCATGAGTCTGTCTCAAATAATCTTGCTCCTATCTGTCTTGCCTCTGAAGAGGAGAGAAGGGCACTGGAGCAGAAATCAAAAATTTATTAAACCATATTTCAAAAAAGCTATCTTACAGGTCTGAATGCTTAGGGCCTGTTTCCCATTTATGTGAAGGCACTATACAGCACTGTGGCAGAAGGGTTTTAGTTGTGGGAGCAGATTGCATTTAATGTTGTTTCTATTGCCAGATAGGTACAGAGTTTCTTTAGGGTTGTTGTGAAAAAGCTGATTAGTAGTAGCATCTTAGCGATCATGTTATACAGGATCATGTTCATATGTTTCCATTTGGGTTTTGTATGCCCTCTTTAGGGTGATGTGTTGTCCTTAGGTCAGTTTGGTTTGGAGACCCCCTAAAAAGTGTGTGCCTTGTGTCCGGTTGATATAGATGGCAGCTGAGAAACATGTGAACTGTGCTTGCGAAGTGCTGAAAGGTGTGTGGCAAGCTGCTTGCTGTGAAAGGTGCTCAGACATGGCATGAGTTCCCTTCGTGTTTTATTGGCTCCTGTAATTGTTTCAACTGTGGTACCATTAAGAGGACATATGCTGAGTTTAGGGCCCTGATGTGGTCTTTGCTCTGGTCCCAAGGACACTCTGCAGCCTTAGCTTTCACAGGAGCTGATGTGTGACTGCTGTGAAGAAAGGAGCAAGGGAGGGAGGTGATGTTTAAGATGAGGGTGTGATGGTTATTACACTAGAGTAGCAGTGGTTCAAGGCTTTCTTATTCAAGTCTGCTGGCTTTTAAGGCATGGTTAACGGTTTGCTTTTCTCAAATGTTTTCTTTCATGATGCTGTTGAGTACCGTGGGGAGGTGATACTGGCCACAGAAGCTACTTTTTGTTTCTGAATGAATGTGCATGTCTGCTTAGTTTGACTTTGCAGTTTCGAAGCAGGTAACACTTGGATGGTGTCGTGCTTATAGATGTATTTGTCAGCAACCCCTGTAGTGGGTAATGATTCAGGCAGTCTGGAGGGCCAGTACTCAGTAAGTCAAGTGAGAGCATCAAGAAGTGCTTCTTGAGTGAGTATGCTGGCTGCTTTTACAGTATCTCTCTGGTAAGGTGAGGTAAATAGTGACAGGTGAGTTTGTTCTTGGAACCAGAAACAGATAGATACTACATGTAGAGGGGAGAGATGAAGCTGCCTAGTACAGGAGAGAACTTAAAAAGAGAGACTAGGGAACTTGAGCTGGAAGCTTTTAAGTTGAATGACTTAACAGTAGTAAATACCTTGCATTCATCTGCATTTGATAAGGACAGTTTTGTTAATAGCTCTTACCTTGCTTTGCTTTGAAAATCCTGATAAGCCTACACTTGGAAATAAATTCCAGAACCTCATTGCTTTAATTGCACATTTGTATCCAGGGGATCTGTGTAAAGGATTTAAATGTTTAAATTCAGTGTAAACACTGAATGGGGAAATGAGAATAAAAGGGTATTTAAAGTTTTCCTGTTTAAATAGAATGCCCCTATGAGATGCATTAGAAAAAGTACATCAAAGGTAGAGCTGGCTGTTTGAAAAAACAAATATATTCCCCTGTCCCCCAGAAAAACAAAAACAAGCCCCCCAAAAACACAAACCCTAAGCTACTGGAAGAAGGCGTTTATATATTGTTTCATCTGAGTATGTGACTGTGTGATCTTCAAGGCCCTGGTTTTGGATATTGCTGTGAGCCCCTCAGTTCTCAAGGATTTGTCATTCTGTCCAACAAATGAATCAGGCTGCAAGCATTTACTGCTACTACCTGTGCAGTTACCAAGCGCTTAACTACTCCTTGGAAACAGGAGAAAAGTCAAAAACTGTTTTGTGCTCCCAGCCTTGTGTAGGGCTTTTATTGCTTTTGATCTCTGGGAAGAAACTAAGCGAGCATACGTGCACTTTATTAACTTGGCTACCTCCGAGGCAGCCTGTGTGGCTCAGTTAGTTGGGAGATGTGGCTGTTATCTATTCCTGTTTCAGTGGGTTAGTGTGCATCCTTTCTGAGACTGTTATTCCAGAAAAGGAGAAAGCTTTTTCACATCTTCCTCTTAGAGCAGCACTGTGAGCACCTTTTGAGTTTTGCAGTGCTCCATAAGGTGGCTTCTAGAATGGTGCAGAGCAGAGATCAGGAAGCTTATGTAAAAGATCTCTTTTATACTTTCTGAAAGGTAAATTTCCATTTTTAATATCTATGTAGACATTTTGAGTGCAAGTCACATTTTTGTATCTGTCACTGAATGAAAGAAAACATGATTGTACCTCATATACTGGTAAAATTGTCTGAGAAGCTTATTCATGCCAAAATACTTCTACTGTAGTGCTGCCTAGGTTACTAAGATGTAGCAGATTAAGTTGCCCAAGCTTGGTGCTGCCATGAGGCATCTTAGGGGAGGCACTTGGTTTCTTCCAAGGTTGGCATAATTTCTGTATAATTTTAAAAGAAAATGATGAGTTAGCAGCTTGAAGTAGGTCTTACTCTTTCAACCTTTTTTCATACTTCTTATAGCACAAGGCTCCTTTCCAGTCTGTCATTCTCATTCCACTTTTCTCTCTCTCACCTAGACAATACAGAGCCGTTGTGTTGCTGCAGTTGCTGTCAAAATGCTGCCACTTTCCTCCTGGATTTTGAAATGAGATCTTGATTTACTCTCCCCAGTTCAATTCAGTCCAGCCCCTCCTCCCCTTTGTGCTTTTTCTCCACCTGAGGGTTCTCCTTTTGCACAGTCTTGCTGTACTGATGATGATGATTAAAGAAATTGGAGATCAGGCTGGTTTTGTTGTAGATGATTGTGGGAGTTAGCAGTTGCCAGCACTAACATTCGTCTGTGTTGTGTATAAAAGGTGTTTTTACCTCAAAATAATTTTTCAAAATTTATTTTCCAGTATTGGTTTAAACTGTGCTTTAGGGGCGGTTGAAATGCGACCATTCATTGAAACAATTGGAAACTGTACAACAGCCTACATCATCTGTTACCCCAACGCAGGTGTGTTGATGCATATGTTGCTATGCTTACAGGCAGACAAAATATAGTTGAATTAGCTTGAAAAGATGATTGTTTTTACTATTAAGAAGCGATTAAGATTATTTTAAACTGCTGAAAGTAAATATTGTTCTGTGACAGTGAACCCAGAATGCTCTCTTGCATAATTAATTACCTGTTGAGTAACGATTACAAGGGTGATGAGGCATTTTAGTCCTTATACAAGTGTAACTACTTTAATTATGTCTTTTATGGAATGTAATTCTGTTCTTGTGCACTTTAAACAGATTGTAATACTAGAAAAATTATATTTCAAGGTCTTCCCAATACTTTTGGTGGTTACGATGAGACTCCAGAAGTGACTGCCCAGCACATAAAGGTATGAAATATTTCTTGTGAATGTGTCATAGCTGAAATACTAGTCAACAAGAATTCCTTGCTTGCATTTTACATGTATTTGTTACAGTACTGTGGTGTGGGTTTTTTTGCTCAGATGGCTCTGTATGTCATTTGGATTGTTTATAGACAATTTGCTGAATGATAGTGTGTTTGAGATACAAGGTTTGGAAAAACTACTTAGGAAACTGAAAAACGTTAATTGCTTTCCTGTCCTACACTAAGTAGTTTTCCAGCAGCTTGATCTGTGGATATTACTCATTTGCACTCGTGCTTTTACATTTGGGAATTGTTGAAAAAGCTGAGTAGTTTTCATGAATTGGCAGAGTTGTTCCTCAGTTGTGTGTATAGAAATGACTGATGGTGGTGGTGTTGCAGTGCAGGGTGTCTGTCCATGTGCCACTTGATCTGTGCAAGGTAGAACTGTGTGGCTGGAGCTGCAGTGTGTCAGCAAGAACACAGTATCTACTGCATGTTAATTCCCTCTTACAATACAGTACGACTAGTCTTTGATACTGATCCAAGCTTTCATCTGGGGCTTCAGTATAAAATAGGCCAGTTTCAAATGTAGTTTCCTAAAATTAGGTGTTTGAAATTACTGGTTAGTCTTGGGAATCCACATCTCAAAACAAATCCTAAAGAGAATAAATAGTACTGAAATTTTTTAATTTAACTTTTTTTTCTTGTGATCCCCCTGAATTGCTTAACATATGGAGAAAAAAACAGTATATAAATATATATCTTAAAAAAAAAAAA